CAGCTGGTTACGGCCTTGGGGCCATTGTATGCCCTTTCTCCGATTTTGTATCTGGTCCTTGTATGAAGTATTAGTGCGCTGTTATCCCATATTCGAGCCTGCTTGGTCCTTAGATTCCGAAATACGCCCGCCATGCTCAGACCTGCCCAACCACGAGTAGCACAGAAGCACCTCACCACCTATTGCATGCAGAAACATGATATAGCCGGCATTGGGACAAGTTTGGGGCGTCTCAGATGCAATAACTAGTATGTGCATACAATACGGAGTACAGCTTGGCATCCCACAGCTCGATAATTATGTATCGGAAATCTGCGCTGCTCCAGACAGCACCGTCATGGCACACCACTCCGAATACGCCCTTGTCATGTCCAATCTACATACATAGATGGTTTAGGCATGATAGCCATGAACGATGAAGCAACTGCAGACATCAACAGGGACAGACTCCACTGTACAACCGAAAAGGGTGTCAAATGCACGACAGCAAAATAATCATGGCATTATGTGCAACTACAATACCTCATTTCGATCGTGCAGTAAGCGGAAATCGCTATCAAGGCCAGTGGTTTAGATGCCATTTGGAGCTACTCATCAAGTCGAGGGGTGGGAGTATGTCAGTAGTCATTCCGGAGCTTCGTTTGTCAGAGCCAGCCCTCATCCGGACTGCAATGGGCAAGCAACGCTAACAAAGAATCAGGCTGGGCCGATGTTTCGTGTTGCTACCTCCGGCGCATTGGATGGTCTAAACCACCAAGCAATCTGAACTCCAAGAAACAGCGGGATGCGGTTCCGTGGCCCGGTCCCATCGTGACTGCAACTCAACACCAAAATAACTCAAATCAGGACGCATAACTAGTCAAATTGGCATACAGAATTGTCACCCTATCATCGCTTTTAAGTTCTGTAGCCACAGGTCTGCATCTGCATTCTTGGCAACCACATGCTCCAAGCATACACGACTTGAAAATCCGTACGGTACATCGCCTGCAGTAGGATGGCTCTGTGCATAATAAGACCTGCAGGTCCCTTACTCCTTCTCCTTGTCAACCCCTCTTCAGCAGCAGGGGCTTCACGCAAATACCCAACTGTGCATCTTTGTATTAAGCACAAAACAACTCTTTGGACTCATCATCGACGGGCCGTTCGCCTTGATGGTTGCTTGCATTACGACACCATATCCACATCTCTTCCATCTCCACGCTGGCCAACGCTTATCTTGTCCCTAGCCAGGCAGGTGCCTAGTTACAGGTAGACCATTCCGAGTTCCTATTCCTAGGGCCTGGGCGTAGCAATGCTCGGCTTCGTTCCCGGTGGAGCTCTTCCGTACAGACAGTGGCATTTTGCAAGACCAGGCACTCGTTCTATGCCAGGCACAACCATACTCCAAGGACCAGAAGCCGAGCTCGAGGTTCAGGCCGTTTGACGGTATTGGACATACTCCTTGCTGAGCAATAAATGTGGCGTATTTGCCCTTCTTTGCCGCCTCCACTCAACCTGGTTTTTGTTCGGAGCTGATCTTCTACAATCATGCAAGGCACCAGTCGCCGCTTGGCTGGGTTCTAGGCCCAGCAGGGAGACCACTGGTAGTGCTTCATCCAAAGCCGCGGAGAGAAAGTCTAATATGACGGGCGAGGAAGTCATCATCGTCTGTATTCAGCGTCAGGTTCTCTGGCATTGTGGGGGGCATGTTGTGGTTCCAAAACTCGACCTTCGTCAAAAGGGGTATTTAGTGCTTCTTAGGACGACATCGACGATGGGCATGAAGTCCTCGCAGGCCTATCCTGGTACATGCAACTCGTATGTAGTACTTGGGCATGGGCAAGAAACTACGATGGGTTAGTCTTCACTTATTCGAGAAAGCTTCCATGACATATTCTCCACATGATGCTCCCACTTATGAACAAGGATACGCCACACCCGCCTAAAAAACGTGCTGAAAAATCTTGGAACGCACCAAGAAAACAACTAGCTTCTGAGTCCGACCAACATTGAAGATGGCTACTGCTATCTGTTTGCGGGGTACACGTATCACAAAAGACTATCAGTCCACTGGCTTTGAGGCTCACTTGGCCAGGAGCCGTCGCCTACAGGTATGTGGCCAATAGCCTCGCTTCATGCATCTTTCGTATTGCTCGTGAGGTCAAGCAATAGGGACTAGAGTCTTCCCAGAGGCTGCACATTGCGATTCCCAGCATCTTCCGTCGCTGGGCGTACATCCGGCCTCTGTGGGTTGCGTCATGATTTTGTGTTGGCAAACTATCGACATCCAATGGTAACCTCCGCGTCGGGATGATACGGAACATCTGAAATGAGCTCAGTCCCTAGCATTAGAGCAAGCCCTCTATAGCAATCCCTCTGGCCTAACAATCTGTCGGAATTTATTAGCGAATGCGTATTATTATGCCAAGGCGAATTCCAACACGGCCTTGCGCCCCCGTTCAGTTGATGTTGACACAAGTGGTAAGACCAGTGCCGAAACAGCCTGGTTTCCATTTGGAAGAATCCTGAAACTAGCCTCGTTGTTTAAAGCCCCTCCGAGTTACTGGAGCCCTCGATAGCATCAGACCACATCTGACCAACCCGTTCTGGATCACGAAGCACTTCCAGATGTTGCTCGCAGACCCGGCCATGTATATACAGGTGTTGTGTCTCCTTTTAGGCGTGATGAACAGATTCAGAGACGGGGAATAACATGAAATTGATTCTACTTGGCTTACACAGTCAGTCGCGAGTCAGTTTCGAGTGGACCGGACGGATAATTCAGACAGACTAGACGGTGCAAGTTAGATGCGACCCTCCACAAGAAAAGGTAATTCCAACATCCATGCACGGCAACTCCAATAGATCGACGATTAGCGGTTGTGGACTGAAAGGAGAAGCCGCCCAATCGCTTGCTGGTTTCCCTGATACTATCAGGAAGACGGCTAACCGATTCACTCATCGACTTTACTTGCGCCTCGGCTTTTGCAACGGTAATAATGACGTACCGCTCTTCGTAGCCCAGAGTCCAAACCTTGACCTGCATGGTTGGCTTTGTGAGAGTCCACGCTGGCATCAAGCACCTAGTTTGGTAGTACATATTCAACAGCAAGCTAACTAACCCTTTGTCCGTTGACAGTGAACCGGCCTCGCGACAGCTTCTTGGAGACACAAATTCGACCCTGTTGCAACAGTCCAGATCAGCAGCAATGGACAAGGACATGCAATTAGTTGATTACTATACTTACCCCTTTCAGAAGGCCCACCAACTGTTAAACAAGACAAGTTGCAATATACATACAACATTGGGCCTACATACAAGTTACAAGACAAAATACGGAGTCTGACAGAGTCAGTTGCCGCAACCAACAGGAAACGCTTCCAACTCGGGCTAGCGGTTGACCGAATCGCTCCGCATCGTGCTCCGTATGCATGGCAAAACTCTTTATTGAGCCCTGGCTGGTTCCGCGCAAAGACCCTGTATCCTTGTTGCAGTCAGCCACAGTCCGGCTTTCGCTTTCCACTTAGCATGCGAAGAAGCCCAACAGTTTCGTCCCGTACAAACCATATCGGTATGCATGAAGAGATGGGGAAATTATACAGTGGACATTGTCCGTGCCTGAAGAACTAAGTTTAGCTATGCTTCGAGACGCCTTCGGGTCCCTCCGACTAGTGAAGATGAAGGGTGAGATGGAGACGACAGCCTGATTCTCAATGTATTGTATGTACATACGGGCCTTGGAACTGTTGACACAGCCGTTTGACAGCTCAATATGCAATTGACATAGCATGTGGTTGGATGACATGAATTTTGGAGTCGCAGCTACCGGAACCTGCCTGATACAGCTGGTCAGTTAGTTCCTTGTCATCACCTTTGGTCGACGACTTTTTGTTTTCCTTGTCCATGATCCGAGTTTCAGTCCTCCGCCTCTCCGAATTCCCTTCATGCAAGAGCTAACGCAAACAGTATTGCGCAAAGGTACCCGCGTGTGGCTTACTGTGACATCGCGTGGAGATGCTGGACATGTTGAAGGATGTGCTTGGCAATGGGCAACGAAAATGGACAATGTAAACTGCCCATCTAGTTGTTGCTTATTGTCGACCATGCATGCCCTGTACAAAATACTACGCCCGAATAGCACAAGGCTGTTATTATAAATAGCCTCAAGGTGGGAGGGACACTTGCAGTATATGCCTATGCTTTGCTTGCGGCATGCTGTTCAGCTTCAACGAACGCAAGCAATATCACCATCCAAGGGGTAGCAACACAATCTCACCAGCTTCCTAACGAGATGAAAAAGGCCCCCAGACGGCTCATGCGCTCTCAAGTGATTCGTTCCGTCGCCGCAGCCCCCATCCGTGTGATCGCCAGCCCAAGATGGTAACTAAAATGACGCAACCTCTTGGTGGTTCCTTTTGCTGCAGTACGACGACAATTGCTGCAGGTCATTATGGCCGAGGAGGCGCATATTGCGCGGTCAGACTAGGCTTCAATGCCCCGTCGCGGATTATACGCAGTGCGTTTTTAAACTAAACATTTCTCGTTGTCCGCGAGCGCAACTTCGAGCTCATGCACGGATCAACGTCTCGACTGGGGTACGAGCCGCAGATTTGGGGGCGGCAGGGCTGTTGTCAAGGAACTGCTTGCTTGTAGAACTGACAGTATGTTCCATTCGGCGGAGTGCATGGACGACCGACCATTCGGAGGATTTTCAATATGAGCAATCTCACAATCGGGAGACCATCACGGTCGATGGCCACCAACACACCATGCAAAAGAAAAAACCTGTTTCGATGCAAATCTTAATTTTGGGACGGCAAGCGATCGCAGTGTGGTTTGATTGATTCGCGTTTCAACCTTGTGTCGTAGTGACGATCTCATGGATGCCTTAGGGTAGGTCAGAACCTTTGATCGAGAAAACCCAAATACCAAGCGCTCCAGTTCTAAAACGAGACGATGCCATCTAAAGCGAGTCAGGTTAGGCTGCAACAAATCCCAGGCCAGTAGTATATGTATGTTATTTCTTGAAGAACCCAGATCGCCCCTGAACAGGCGCTCTCCCCCTCTTTAGCAGAATGTCCTTGCTACTTTTCGAATACTTCCTCGCCTTGGGCGCCAGCCTCCCGTCGACCTTCTTGGAGATTCTATACACCGTAGACCCAATGACTTCGTCGCGAGGACCCCTTCCATCTCTCGACATCCGCTTCTCAACGCCCGAAACCGTTCTCTTGCGGGGCAAGTCTTGTCCAAGTGAGGACTCTGCATCATCTTCCTCCTCGCTGTCCGAGTCTGTCAGGAACTCGGCAGGTAGGACACTAGGGATAACCATCTTTCCAGACAATTTCCTGGCAGAAACTTCTTGGATTGGTGCTGGGACTTTTTCAGTCCGAGTTTCAGCCTTTCGCTGTGAAGCTTGCTGCTTGAATAGGGCATCTCGTTGCTGCCGCTTCTGCTTTTCAGCGGCTGCTTGCCTAGCTCCTAGTTAGCTGTAATCGTCCATTGATCATAGAATATTGGTAAGAATAATAGATTGAATAGTACTGTGAGAGGGAAAGATACATACTCTCGAGCAGCTTTCTTCTCCGCCTGCGCAGACTTTTTCATCTCAACTGCCACCGTGGCGGTGGACACTGCCTCGGGAGCCTCATCACCATCGCTTTCTTCCTCCTGCTGGGCTGGTTTTGAGGCCTCGACGGGCTTAGCGGGAACGGCTGGTTCCCGGTCTGCATTGCCGTCGTCGTCAAACGTGATGACGTTGCTCCTCTTGCTCGCCGCCGTGGGTGCCTCTGGCTTTTGCTCTGGAACGTCGTCCTTTGACCGCACGGGCAGCTTCCTCTGTCGTTTGGTGGTGCTTGTGGGCGGCGAGGGCGCAGGTTGGGCACTCTGAATGGCTGCTTGGGCCATGGCCTTTCGCTTACGCGTTTCGACGGGCATTGTCGATGTGCCTCAGTGAGTTTCTCGCTGAGATGTCTTGTGGCGTGGTCTGATCCTGGGGAGGAAGTAGCTCCTGTCTAAAGGCCCTGAGAGAATACGAGGTGGGTGGAAATAGGTTTGAGTCAAGTATTAGTTTGCTCAACCTGCTCTTGGGTATTTGTGTGTTGTGGAATGGTCCTGTGATGAAAAGATGTTCATACCATGTTGAATTGAGACTACTTTTTTGATATCAAAAAAATTTAGTGGGTCGCTACGGTCTGAACGGCGCGGCGTAGAGCGCTGTGATTGGTCGGCGGAGTCGGCGGAGCTGGAGATGCACACCACACCGGACCCTTTCTCCTCCAAGATTACAATACCAGCTTTGGGAATGAATTACGACCAACCTGTTTCGAACGTTTCACTGAAAAGTGTCCCTGCTTAATTTTGCAGATTTTATTTTTATTTATGTCATTTTTTCGCATAAAGGGGCATTATTGAACTGGTAGTAGTTGATCCAATGCCAGATTAAAACCATATCCCCCCAACCACAACCTCTTCACCATCGTTGTGCTATCAAAATGGCCGTTAGACGTGCTCTATCGCCATGCGCACTTGTCCGTCCTTTATCAGCCAGTATAATCCCTATACTGTCAAAAACGCACATCCATCCGTCCACAATTCAACGACTCCAGAAAACGCAATCGTTTGCTTCTCGCTCTCCCCCCAAAGCCCCTTCCTACGCCGACGTATTCACTCTATCAGACATTCCACTCAGCTCCTTCGAGAGCGTCATCTCGCGCAACGGCAGCTCATTCAAAGATCTCTCCCCAGAGGAATACTACCGCGTCGCTCAAAAGTTCTCCGACGCAATCAACCGAGGGTCTTCCCCCTGGACTTCCTCCTTCACAGGCAGTACGTCGAGCTCTTGGCCGCCTAGGTCCTCGCTGGCTCCCAACCGCAAAAGCTAACTCGGCGCCAGAAGATGCCATCCCCGCAGAAACTCTACACAAGGTAGCCTGCATCATGCGGCAAATCACCGGGCCCCGAAGCGCAGACGCCTTCGCCACCGCCCTCTGGTCAACCGCCTCGGAAATGGGCTACCGTCCGTCGACGCTCTCTCTCGCCCGGCAACTCGTCCGTTCCGGGGCATACGGCAGAGTCCCGCAGCTGCGCAGGGTCGAAGCACGCTTCAAGGGCTTGGTTTCCAGTGGTAAAGATGCGGATGCGCTTACCGCCGAGGGGGAGTTGCTGCTGGATCAGGGACGGCTGGACGCCGCCGCCGCCGTGTTGACGAAAGCGCTGAAGCTGAGCCCGCGGTTTGAATGGCGACCGTATTGTCGTTTGTGTCTGGGGAGGGCATACTTGAAGATGGGCAAAGTCGACGACGCCCGGGGGCTGTTTGAGAAATTGGCCCAGGAAGGGCTTGTTGAGGCTGACATGGAGTTGGCCGAGATGCTCAGAGGTAGTGACGCGGATGAGGCACGGCAGAGGATGTACACGGCTGCGTGCAATGGGAGGAGGGATATGTTTACGCGTCTTTCAGAGATGGAGTTGGAGCTGGAGGCGGTTGGCGGTGAGAAGGATGGCGAGGAGAGGAGGTTGTGGGCGATGGAGTGGGCGAAACTCGCAGACGGGCGGGTTGAATATTGATCAGATTTGGACATGTATTCAATCTTGTATTTAGAAACACCCCACGCCTTCTTTTAGGCATCTATTAGATTATACCTTGGCCATGTTCCATCATGATTCCAACTCTACTTCTTTTGCTTCTTAACACCATCACCGCCCTCCCCCTTCCGCCTCCTCCTCTTGTCTCCGACATCTTCATCCCCTTCGTCCGCGTTCTCCCCATCGTCACTCGCAACCATTTCCATCATTTCCCCTCCCTTTCCCTCAAACAACTCTCTCCACGAACCATCCAGGACCCTCTCGTCATCCCCATACAAACCGACTCCATACGCAATCTTCATGGCATTGATGCAAGTCTCCCTCCTTTTCCCAAAGTCAAACATTGGCTTCGGATACGTCCCCTGCTCCTGGTCACCTAGTCCATCACCCACCACCCTCACGCCCGCCTTCTTCTGATCCTGAATCGGCGCCTTCCACGGCTCATATATGTACTTGGAATCCAAATTCTTCAGCTCCGGGACCCATTTGCGAATCAAATCTCCGTTCTTATCCCACTTCTGCCCGAAGGAAACGGGGCTGTAGCACCGAAAATACTGCGAGAAGAAAGCCGTACACGACAACCACTGCCAATTGCCCGCGTTGCAGGCAGGTTCGTGATCCAACAAGTGCACCTCGAAGACCTCTGCACCCCTCTCCCAATCGACGTAGCATCCTCCCCTGGTAAGGAAGCACGCCAGGCTATGACGGCCAAGGTGGTGTATCCAACCCGTGTGGAGGAGCTGGCGCATAAGAGCGTCTATCCAGGGGAAGCCCGTAACGCCTCGCTTCCATCGCTGGAACCACTTCTCGGCATCGTCCGAGTCAACCGTGTACTTGTCGGTCACAAGACCGGTCTGCGAGTCTCTCTCCGACGGCAGGTGCCAGGGTATAAAACGACAGTACGGGTTCCCAGCCGTCTGCGTAAACTTGGCACCGACGGCCGCCTGCGCGGCGAAATACATATCCCGAAAGATGAGTTGACCCGTCAAGCTTGCCGGAGGGGTCGATGCCCCTTTCCCGTAGGCCTCGACCACGTCTTGCACCCGCCAGTAGAACTCCCTGACGGACAGGGCACCAAAGTGAAGAAACGGCGAGAGCAACGTGGTCGACTGCGGCTCAAACTGCGCCGGACTGGTCTTTGGCTTCTCAAACGTGGCTGTATACTTTTTGTTCTTGGCAATGTCGGCTAGATTCTTCAACGCAATGCTCTCCCCTCCCCTGTAGGGAGTCGTGGCCGCCGGAAACCCAAGCTCCTCCAGCGTCTCGATGGCGAAATCGCCCTTGGGCCCGGCGATGCTCTTGTACGCCGTGTCTTTCTTCTCCCTCGTCTGCGCATTCACGTCTGGAACGCTGCTGGGCACGTGCTGCCCAAAGTCGAGCGGCATATCGCCCGGGTCCGGGAGACTCTTGGGCGCGGCTATCGGCCGGGGGACTTGGCCAACCTTCTTTGCAGCCGAGAGCAGCTGCGTCATGGACATGGCTGGCTTGCCGTCGTGGTGGGCGACAATCTCGTCGCTGTCCCAGAGGGTTCTGCCAGAGTGGATGACGACTTTGACGCCGGCTGCCTTGGCTGCCTTGGCGACGACGTCGTCACGCTGCCGTGCATATGCATCGGTGTCCTTCTCGAAGACGAGATGCGTGACTTTCCAGGCTTTGAGGAGCTTGGGGAACAGAGTCTGGGGCGCTTCTCGGAGGACAAAGAGCTTGGACTTGGGGTTTAGTTTTGTGATAGAGCTGGAGAGGTCATTCTGACAGTCGAGGCTAATGTGATTCCTGATCAGCACCATGGACACAGGCGGCGAATTGTTTACCGAGTTGAAGTGTGTTCGTGGCTGACCTACAGAAACTGCCATCTATTTGTGCCTCCCCTCGCCCTGTAGACATAGTACGGATCCCAGGTGAATATCGGCCACAGAACATCTGGCTCCAGATCTAGCGCGGCCTTCAATGCGGGAGAATCGTGAAGTCGGAGGTCTGTTCGGAACCAATACACGACCCTTGGCTTAGTCATGATATCGGCCGCCCTGTCTCGATGCGTGTTTTGAAAGTTGTTTAGATGGAAAAGGCTCTTTTGGTCTGGTTAATTTCGCCAATCTGAATGAATGTACGAAAGTAGGAAAGTACTCGATAAATTGGTTTGTGAAACTAGACTTAGATATAAGATCGAGACATTGTTTTTTACACAGCGTAGAAATGATCCATCCCCCCCTCAAGAACCTACATGCGTGTCATATTGGTAAAAAGCAAAAGTCAAAACGAAAAAAAAGAAAAGAAGGAAGATTGATAGTCATGATGTCAGTAGGCTGGTGCCCCTCAAGATGCTCAAGTGGCTGTCCATTGGCCTGGATCGATGGCATCTAAGACATCAGATGTGCGGGAGGAGACATAGGGACCCACTTCTGCAGGCACTGGGCGAATGACGTGGGATGCTGGGGTTCCCGGAAATCGAGGTCAGCAAGACCAGCAAGTTAGCATCGGCAGTTTGCGAGATTGAACACTCAAGATTTGTTGTACGTAATACTTCTTGCCCAGTTGCTTGGTAAAGCCCAGCGATACTAGTACGGGGTAGTAGTAGGAGTATTTGTGCGCGGCGTTGAGAGCCTGTCTATTCCGTATCATTGGCACGAGCAACCCTCAAAGTTGTCTATTGACATAGTCTGTGCTTCACATATCCACACGCGTTCACCAACCCATACCTGGAAAGGCAGTCAGCTGTTACTAGAAACATAAAAATAGTCTTCGAATACTAGTCCTTGAGCCAGCACGTTCGCGTTGGTCCAATCGTGCGTCGTTCAGCCATCGCCGCCACTGCAGCCGTGCAGCCAGGTCATGCGGCGACCTCCTGGTCATGGTCTTGCTCACGGTGTATGACGAGGTCCATGGCCACCAACGTTGGAAAGACCCAAGGTCAGCAAGCGCAATTACACGCATTGCATGACAATATAATACAACTTTTTGATTGCCAGTCAGTCTCTGGCACCCACTCACACCAAAAGCCAAGGTTGACCAACCCTAGAAGCCCCACCATGCCACTCACTCACTGCCCACTTCATCGCCGGCATACTTAGTAAGTAAGTAAGCAACGCCAAGCATCCCAATATTGTACAATGTCAGTACATACAACCCACTGTACGTCACTACGGAGTGCACTGGGCAATAATCCTACACGGGACTCGACATGAATGTCAATATTGACATTCTGCGGGGCATAGTGCCGTTGTCGCGCCTTGTTGCCGGTCTCCGAATAAGGACTGTTTTACTCTTCAAAGAACTACGCAGTAAACAAGCAACAGTGACTGAGACCTCATTCATCATGAACCTGTTCCTTGGTGTGGGGTAGTTAATCATGAGATGAATTGTCATCTTGATTGTGATCGGCAAATGACTGACCATTTTTTTGACTTTTCCTTCTCCCGGGGCATTTGCCCACTTTGCCGGCACACACTTTGTCTCGGGGGTAAAAGGGTAAAAGGCGATGACTGACCGTCAACAGTCTTCCACGGCTCAGCAGCCCTACATGTCGTAATTTCTGGGCCTGCAGCGAAGCAAGACTCGAGAGGCGCATTGCGCATTGTGCATTGTGCATCGTGCATCATACATATGTACTCCGTAGTAGTATTAGTATTGTGTCGGTCGGCTCCCAAGGTTTGGCACCATCAATTGGCGGGGTTCTTGGTGTAAGTCCCAGTTACCGCTGCCGATTCCATCCACGTCTGGTATTTCTGGATGTCGAGGTGAGCTGAGCTAGAGCTAGCGACGCGTCAAGGACGGCTTAGTTTGTTAGTCTGGTTTGTCGTGAATGATGACACCGTATCATCATTTCCGTTGTCATCGCCTTGGTATGATGGACCACGGCTGTTGTCGAGGCAATTGAGTATAGAAACGCAAAAGATGAAAGTAATCAGACTCGTTGTTTTCAACGGCCAAGTGGGCACGACGCACTTTATTGTATGCAGGGTGCTCGAGTGGGCAGTAGGAACATTGGAAGCCCACGAGGACATACTAGTACTACTACGGAGTACGGAGTACTAGCATAACAATACTCGAGGTTGCGACCTTGCAATTGCACCCATTACTCCATTCTAAGGAAATACGGAGTACTCCGTGGTTATACATACAACATGTCGTAAGTGCACAATTGCTCCTGCAATCTGCCTCCCTCAGTAGTACCTTCCTAAAGTACTTAAGTAGCTACCTTGTACATATGTATGTCTGGTATCAAATGCTGGAAGGGAGCAAGAATCTGTGTTTGACCCCCTGGGCAGGCAGGGCTCGAGCTGTCGCGGGCGGTACCGTGATAAAACTTGTCTGGTAAGTACATAAATAGGATTGCAACGGCAGCCCAAGTACATGCAGATTGATCATGCCAGATATGCATCTCATTACGCCTCGCCCTGCTCGTAAGCAATAACTTGGCACTAGTACTACAAACTGTTCACCTTCCACCTGGCTTGGACGTCTGCACCCACTACCGGCCGGGCTAGGAACCAGGTTCATCAATCCTGTGGGACTAAAACACGTGCTTCCTCCAGCTTCTTCGTTTTAAATTGGCAACGAGCCGGTGGAACATCCGTAGTTACCGGGTATGATGTAGTACGTGGTAGTTGCAGAGTTTTTTTTGCATGGCCATCAGTGGCTTGAAGCATGTGGTGCTCACACCACGTTTTGAACTCTGTACGGAGTACGTGATGAAATATGCAGGGACATTTGTTGCACCATGTCGACTGGTTGATCCTTTCCACCCAGTGTCGGCTAATAAGGCCCTGGCCATCATTGAGGCCACCTTGGAAAGGGTGTAGGCATGCGCAGGATAATATTTGCATTGTAGGTCCAGCTCGTGTAGCCCGGGAAAAAAAAGAATTGCATCATTAAGCTATTTGCTTGTTGTTTTTGTTTTTTGTTTTTGTTTCTGTTTCTGTTTCTGTTATGGTTGTTTATTGACCAGGGTGGTCTTGGTGTCAATTTGATTTGTGCATTGTTTGCCTAGGAGCCCGTGAGGCATGGCTCAGGGCTCACTAGAGCGCTGGTGCGTGCAACAGAGGTTGCCGCCTAGCAACGTGCTGAAAGACGACACCTGCTCTGGTAAAGCCATCCAAACTCCAGCGGGCTCCAGCGGGCCCCAGCGAGTCGCAATAGACTGGAAACTTGTGCCTAGATCCGGGCTAGTGCCCCATGAGCCGCCACCGAGGCTCCACGTAAGTTTTGATGTTTCGTGACTGCTTTCCTCTGTCCCTTTTGAACCAGGGGAAGAAAAAAAAAAAATCAAACCACCAGCCTTTCCTCCCACTTTGGACCTCGGGGGAGGATCTGCGCTTTGTGTTTGCTGCAGTTTTTGAAACGTCAGGTTGCCAGTATAGAGCCTAGCTGCTCGTGCGCGCCTCACATCCCCAGGTTGCGTTTCAACTGTGCGCCCACCAGTAGCATGGAGTACCGAAGTGTCAGGAACAGGCATCGACTCATGTCTCCAATCGGATGTTGGTGGGAAGGAGCAGTTGGGGTGCTTGTTGCTGGTAAAGTCTGCAGAGGTACCAGATACTCTTGGTCATATACAAGGCCAGGGCTTCTGAACATGTATAGAATACGCAACTAGTATGTCTAATGTCTAACAGGCTTCTGCCGTCTCACGTCCTTGTTTCCTCTTGGCGCCGCGCTCCTTCCCCGCCTGCCAACGGCCTGGCCCACAACACCCCCGGTTCTGGGTCCCCAAATGCAAGGAAGCTTGTTCCTGGTCGTGCCTGGTTGCTTGCAGCAGAATTCTATCCCACTGGCTGAATTGAGGAAAAAGTGCTCGAGTGCACAATGCCGGACAAGCATCCTCTCCGACAAGATGCTTGCACGCGACGGTTCCATGCGCTTCTGACGCGTTTACTCGGAGCTGAGGGCTTTTTTTTTTTTACTTAGCTCATGGGTATGACCAACAATTGGCCTGCTTCGTTTGGTCGATATTCTTTCCCTCCTCTTCCATTCCTCCATTTCTGTGATGCTCGCTCTTGCACCTGAAAACGACGACGGCTCTGATTATTCTACATTCCAGTACCCCGGGTGTTCATGACGCCTTGCCTTTAGTTTTCCACTGCGTATTTCCGGTGGAACCACAAAACATTGTTCGTCGTTCGGAGAGACCAACGACGCCACGGTCTTTGTCACAATTGTCGTCGGTGCTCTTTTCTTTGTGCGACGGCCGGCACCAGTACTTGTGGCCATTCTCTGCCAAACAAGTCTGTTTGCACATACAATACTCTGCCAACCGCCGCCCCTGTCACCACCTCTTTCCAACAAACAGTTGAGAGCTCAATTCTCGAAATTACGACGTCAGGTTCACGTCTATTTGACAACTATTTATGGTCAATTCGCTTTGCCGTCTATTACGATTGCGGGACTGGCAACTTTTTATATCTGCGGTGGAGTCATCGTGACTTGATGGCTCCCACTTACTATTACACTCCAATTCTGTGAGAAAATCGACGACGGTTGAAATTAATTAACAGTCGACAAAGTTTGGAGAAGACGGCCACGCAAAATACACTTTTACGAATCCGATAAAAGCCAAGTTGCCGTGTGCTCCCGCAGGTGATTGGGCGCCGCGACCACAGTCGTGTTGTGTTGGGGCGGATTCTTTGCTTTTCCCTTTCTTTAAGGCTTTGACAGCCTCCTCCTGCTGGCATGATGCTCCGCGCCGGATTTCTTCTCATCGTCGCCGGAACGCTGGCCGTGCTTGCAACATCCGTTACCATTTGCCTCGAAATTATTTCGTGTGTGCATGCAGCAAAGAATTCCAAGTTGCTTATAGCAAGCAGCACGGCCGCCGCCTTGGAGTCCGTTGTCCTGCTTATACTTGGTGCACTCGGCATAGCACAAGCTGTACCAACAAAGGTGCCCTTGTCATGGAAGTGTTCTTTACCTGCATTTATAACTCAACTCTTTGCTTGGCTAGCTGCCCTGGTAGCTTCTGTAGTCGCTTTGGTCTACTTGCAGGAGTGGTGGACACAGCTCGAACTAGACGACGAGGCCGCTGAAGGACGTTGGAAAGTGTTCGTCGGTTCAGCAACAGTTGTCGCCTTTTCCACCGCTCTCCAGCTTGGTTCCATAATATTGCACTTTGCGACAAGTCGAGATGTTACCGCTGGAACGGCTTCATCCTTTCATTCAAACGAAGAGGGCCGCACAATGAATATCAAATCCGTTCGATATAGCCGAACAACTGTTGGGGCCGCTCTGCAGGAAATGACATCAGTGAGAAGCAATGAGTCTTCGCCGCCTTCGCCGGAAAGCTCAACCATGGGGCCAATTGACTACTTGAAGGCATCCATGTCTCAAGCCATTCGACCTGCAGCATCCCGAACCAAATTTTTGAAGAGTGGGCGACGAAGAGCGACTTCACTGGACTCGAAGAATCCTCGTAAGAGCACAGATACGTCTTTTGATTCTTGGGACACTTCATCTGTGGACATGTATAATCGTCAAGTTGTCATAGAGATGTCATCTCCAGCGACTCTCAATAGAGGCTTAGAGACGATTCCTGCTAGCCCGTCTGGGAGCCGCTCTCCCACCCGGCCAGGCACTCCTCTCGATATGGAGCTGGAGCCTCCCCGTATGCTATATAGAGCAGAGAGTTATAGCTCGAGCGTACTATCACAACAAGATCCCCACAGGCTTACCCCCGACAGCTCTGTGAACGAGGCACATATTCACCCACTCTTTCGATCTGATTCCCCAACGCCACCTCCCGCCGCAAGTCCCGGCACAGTTGTCCTGGCTGCGCCAAATGCCGGGCAAGTCATATCGTGCAAGTCTAGCATGCAATCTATGAGACGCCTGCGGAGTGGAAGCTTGCCTGCGACGCCTAGCCCTCTTATCCACCAGGCCAGCTTCGACCTCCTGAAACAGTCCAAAATGGGAGACGACGGCGATGTTGGCCGAAAGAGTTCTGGTACACGAAGCGAGCGCAAAATGACGCCACCTGTACCTGAATGGCTGCTAAGCCCGTCTATGAAGACCAGCCTGGAATCATTCAAGGAGCAGAAGCAAGAGAATGACGAGGAGACATAATGAGGGGGCAGAAATGAAGTGACGATCATTGACTTTTCTTTGTATTTGTACGCATGGCTGTGAGCGATTCGACCTGAATATTCTTTTTTTTGTTTTTGTCACTCTTGGGTTTGATGGGGATACGAGATTGGGGTGCAAACCTCATTATGTTGATATGACTTTGGGTATAATTGGTTGATTTGTACAAAGAGCGAGGCGTTGTATTTAGATGATGGGACATGTAATTTTTATTAGCGGCCATTGCTAGAGAATTCAGCGATGGGCCATGAGGCAAAAAATCAAATGATATTCAAGACTAGATGTACTTTCGGGTTTCATTCCCTGGTGAATGTGATGCAGGTCGGATACGTCTTTGGCGCAACTAGCCGCCGCCGCCCATGGACCATGGTTCACCATTCGCCACCCCGGGAAATTTGGCAAAACTGGCAGTCTTCAGCTTCGCGCAGCTGCGAACCCTGCGTTCCTGTATTATTCAGCTTCTACCGTACATAGTAGGAGCCTGCACGATAGTAGTTGCAAGGTGGGGGCTTGCTTCTTGCATGACTCCAACTTGGACATTGGTCTGGACGGTCCTCGTGGTTGAAGCAGCACGACATGGACATGTTTTTTTTGCTGGCTGGCTGACAAGACCAGACCCCACCTCGACAGACTGCCCGCCCACAAAGAGCCAAAGAGCCACCGGCGTCGAAGTCGGTCTTCAGCCAACCATTGCTTCCGTCATCGTTGCCATCTTCTCTCCTCCAACCTCTCCAACCTCTACCGTCTCGCCTGCACGGACAATTTGCCTGGGACCTAGATCTCACTGACGACTCTTCTTCTATCGCAGCTGTCGAGCTGCGCCTCTTCTGCCCATCATGAAGGTCACGTTCCGAGTATGCCTCATCCACAACCCCCCGCCACCGTTGGTGCTTGTTTGATTGGAAGCTGTTTTGGGTACATTGGTCTGAAGCTGTGTAGCCTGGCTGCCCGTGCTGAAGTGCATCGCGGAAATGTAGCTGACTCTTGGTCTATTTGCGCAGGATCTGAAGCAACAGAAGTTCGTCCTCGAGGTCGAACCCACCGACCTGGTATGTCTCATCTGCCACGATACCTCGGCCGTTCCGATATCGACCATGTCAACAACACACGCCGTGACTGACTGGAATATGTCGTAGATCTCGGCTGTCAAGGAAAAAATCTCCGGAGAGAAGGGGTGGGACCCTAAGCACCAGAAGCTCATTTATTCCGGTTCGATACATGGCCTGCTCCAAGATAATACCTCTGCCTTGGCGAACTGGATTTTCTGACCAGGTTTAGGCAAAATTCTGAAGGATGATGAGACCGTCGCTTCCTACAACATCGAGGAGAAGGGCTTTGTCGTCTGCATGGTGAACAAGGTATACTATTTTGAGTCAAATGCGCCGCTGCTTTAACCAAGCTGGAGGGCTAACATATATTCAGCCCAAGGAGAAACCAGCCCCTGCCGCTGAGTCTTCAGCTGCTGCTCCTCCAGCCACACCCGCACAGCCTGTTGCAAGTACTCCTGCTGTTCCAGCTGCTCCCGCCCAACCTTCCACTACTCAGTCCGCCGCCCCGGCCACGCCAACTCCGCAACGTTCTGGCGAAGCTGGGGGGGAGACAGGCTCAGGCCTGGCTATGGGTGCTGAGCGAGCTGAGGCCATTACAAACATGGAGGCTATGGGATTTGAGAGGAGTCAGATCGAGGCCGCTATGCGCGCTGCCTTCAATAACCCTGACCGTGCGGTCGAATATCTTTTAAATGTGAGTGATGGGAGGAGCACACAGTGATACAATGGTGAAGGACACACATCTGATAAATCTCAAAGGGTATTCCTGAGAACATTCAACAAGAACAGCATGCTCGCCAGGCTGCCGCAGCCGGACCGACGCAGGCCACCCCTGCCGCCCCCGCCGCTCAAGAGGGCGGAGAGGATGATGGAGGCGTAAACCTCTTCGATCTTGCCGCTCAGGCTGGTGGGGGTGGTCGCGGAGGAAGTGGCAGTGGTAGCGCGGCTGCTGCTGCTGCGGGTGCAACTCAGGGTGGTGCAGATCTGGGCAACTTGGATTTTCTCAGACATAACCCTCAGTTCCAGCAGCTCCGCCAAGTTGTTCAACAGCAGCCTCAGATGCTCGAGCCTATTCTACAACAGCTTGGCGCCGGCAACCCCCAACTTGCACAGCTGATTGCCGCCAACCCCGACCAGTTCCTCTCGCTTTTGGGCGAAAGCGCCGACGACGACGTTCCCCTGCCCCCCGGCGCCCAGGCTATCTCTGTCACAGAAGAAGAGCGCGATGCTATTGAACGGGTGAGTTGGATGTAATCTACCAAGATCCGGTGCAGATATGAAGTGCTGACGGAATATAGCTATGTCGTCTTGGTTTTGATCGTGACCAGGCCATCCAGGCTTATTTTGCATGTGACAAAAACGAAGAGCTCGCCGCAAACTTCTTATTCGACCAGCCTGATGACGATGAACCTCCTACCAACTAAGGTGGCTGGCATTGGTGTGGCAGGTACCGTGTGGAGGACAATGACAACAACGGTGGAAGCAGAAGCACTCACGAACGCTTGTTATGATTATGAAACAAAACTCCGAACGAGGTTAATGACAATAGCCGCTGGGGAGGAGTTTAATGTCACGATTCCAAAGGGAGGCGAAACGTGGGGATGGAGATTTCGCTGGTTCAACTACACAGTTACAACATTGGAGAGCCCATTTTTTTTTTCAACAAGTGAGTTAGTGTGGGAGATGGCATGTTTGCAAGTGGCAATCAATGTTTGAGGTGCTGGACTGCATAGGCACTTAGGTTGACATATTGGCCTAGAATATTTCGACAGTGAATGATATTGCAGTCTCCGCAAAGCCATCTCGTGGGTCACTAATGTATATAAACGTACCGTGTCATGTTCTAATCTCGTCGTGCAAACATATTCAGCTGTAGAAGACCGCTCCTGCTATGACCTGCCAACTCCGTTCTTGTTTCCCTGTTCACGTCAGAAATCTCTCGTGGGTATCGTGTATCCCCCTTCCCCTGGGCCCGTCGCTACATGGGAACATGTATTCACGCCAATAAGCAATCCTCAATCTCCTGTGATTGGCTCGCCATTCAAACCGTACTGAATCGCCTGCTTGCCCTTCTTCTTGCCCTTGCCTTTCTTCTTGAGCCCGCCATCCTCGCCGTCCTCATCTGCAAACAGCTCCTCCTTCTTCTTCCTCATAATCTCCGCCTGTTCATCCGCCACCCTCTGCCTCTCCGCCTCGTAAGTCTCCTCGATCTTGCGGTGCTCCGCCTCAATCGTCTCCAATGATTCGAATTCGGCACCCGTGAACGCGCGGTATTCGTCAATGTCTATCCTTATAGTCTTCTCACCCATGACCGCGGCGTCAATGAGTTTCGGGTTGTGCCGTTCTTCGCGGTTGAATTTGAGTTTGATGTGGCGGCGCTGTTTGCCGGGGAACATTTTGGAAATCATTTCGAACTCGGTGCCGAACATGCGCAGGCCGCGGTAGAAGAGCTCTGTTTCGGGATCCGTCCAGACGTTGGGGCCCCTGAGCTTGGAGGTGTTCATGAATGAGGACGAGGTGATGAGCCGCGTGAAGTCGTTTTCTTCAATGGTCTCCATGTCCTCGTTTGCGCGGGCGGCGGCGGCGCGGGCGTGCCGGTCCATGACGAGGGAGGACTGGTCGACAATAATTTGGCCGTCGACGATGCGGAATTGAGGGCCAGCTGTGGCCGCTGCCGCCGCCGCTGCCGCCGCCGCCGTTGAGGGCGTTGAGGTGCTACTGTTGGCTTTGGTAGTTGTGCCGTTCGTTGAGCCTGGTGCTGGGGATTGTGTGTTGTCGATGCCTGCTTCGCTGGGGGTATCGCCGTCCTTGTCGAGTTTGGATTTTAAACGCGCTTTGCGCTCGCGCTCGCGCAGTTCGTCGTGGCGACTGAATTTCTTGCCGATTCGCAAGTCCCGTGTTAGGTCAGACATTTTGAGCTTTTGCAGGTCGACGACCTGGTCCTCTGCGTCTTCGGGGGTGAGAGAGCGGGCTCGGCGGGAACTGGATCGTGATCCGGTGGCATTGGGCGTGCTAGTCTTGCGCTTTCGTGGTGCGGGGGTTTCAGTGCCGTCATGTTGGCGGGATGCTTTTCGCTGGCGCTTCTTGGGCCGTGAAGGCTCGCCTTCTGGTGCAGATATGGTAGCATCTGCGCCAGTTGTTGACGGTCTCCTCCTGGCCCTCGTTCTGATGGATGCTCTAGAGGCGGAGGTGGGCTCTTCTGAAGCAGTTGCGGATGAGCTCTGTGTTTCTATTGGTGGCGCTGTAGCCCTGGCTGTGCCGCCTTCTTCTGATGATGTGGATTGTTCGGGCGTTTCTATTGAAGTTCTTGGTGGTGGTTTGGCGGCTGATTGACGTCTCGTTCGCGCGCTCGGTGCCGATTGTGACGGAGCATCAGCTTTTGGTGGCTCCGTCACAGGAACAGTGGTTGAGGTCGTACCACTGGCTGCCGATGTCTCTTTTAGTACTTGCGGTCGTGAGCTGGACTCTAATTGGGATGCACGTCTCGTGGTTCGCCTTGATGGTTCAACGGGGGTTTCTTTCTCAGGCTCCTTTGCTGGTTTTTGGGCCGTGGTTTCGGCCCCCCCGTGCGTGACTTCATGTGTATCTGGTTCCTTTTCTATAACCTCCGGCACCGTCTCTGGCAATGTGTCCGAGCCATCATCAATTGTAGGTTGAGGTGGTGGTGCAGTTTTTGTGGTTGGTGCCGATGGCCCTGGTCTTGGTCGCGCGACCGGTGCCTTGGGCTTGAAGGCAAGCCCGCCTTTCTTCTTGAACATGGAACTCATGCCGTATTAGTAGTGAGTACTATAACAGTGACGGAAATTTAAGAGAAATCAACAGCGTGACGCTCTTTCGCGGGACAATTGATGGATTCACACTTGACGCTCACCCCGAGTAACTGAGAAATAAAGTGGGTTGCCTGCAAAGCGTTTGGCTGCAAGCGAGGTTTAACCGGGTTCAGCCATCGATAAGAATACCAAAACAGGCTTAGCGCGGGACTAGTGTCCTTTGGCCATGCCTCTCTGATCTTCGAGTCGACTTGGAAATTTCAACTCCTGGCCTCGATCACCCTCCCCCCATCACCAATCTCTTCCCCCCAAAGGCAATTCTTCACGGAACTTGCTTTGATGACAGCCCGCGCGGTGTCAGCTGCAGGACGAGACGTGGCTCATGAGCGTTATAGCTGCCAAGCTCTCGCTCTGAACAGCTTCTCGCACCGAGTTTCTGTGAACCTTTGTTTCGTTTGACGCGTTGTCTGATGCCTGTAGCAACGTCGCCGTCCACGTCGCCTCGTCCATCCGTGGTTCCCAAAATGGAGGACAGGAAGAGGCCCGCCATCGGCGGCTCCGATGATCTCGCTGCTCCCCCTAGTAAGCGAGTCGCCGTGAATGGTTCCAAAACAAAAGATGATGCGATAGAGCTGAAGGAAGAAGGTTGGATCGAGGTGAGTGTCGCACGAGCATGATTTTCGATGCCTCTTCCGGCAACCTGGCACACGACCACACTATTGCACTCGGATTTCGAGACTTTTGGTACTGGTTTCCCTTGTCTGAGTGGTGCTTTGGGACATTTGCGACCCTGATCCTGACGAGGCTTGCGGGTATCGCATGGCGTCGTGAGGGGTCGTAACCAGCGGCACACTTGGCCTTCACTGCAACAATTTTGGCTTCGACTGTCTCGACTGTGGTCAGGCTCTGCCAATGAACGATTTTGGTTGTTCTTCCCCAATGACTTTTGTGCTGACGATCAATCTTAGGCCTATACCAAGGGGGCAATTTACCGCCAAATGCAAGAGTACAGTCGTAAAGCCGCGACAGCTGAATCACGCCTCGAAGAACTGCATAAACGATGTGTACATCATGATGACCATTTAAGGATCATCGATGGCTGGTGGCGCCAAGTAAGTGCCGAAGACGACTACTATCGACGCAGCCCAAAAACTAACAGGCTGGCTAGTTACTCGAGGAATTGGAAGTTGTAGCAGAGCCTACCTTATCTGGAAATGCACCCACGACAGGTACGGAAGAGTATGTTGCCAATGTTGGGTCCAATACTAATGCTTGATACTCCTAGATCCACCCTATCTCAGCGCAATCGGTTTCAAAGACTTAAGCGAGTTTCAATCCCATCTCTCAGACAAGGGCAAAACTATAAAGACAAAAGCCGAGTCACTGCTGAGTCGTATTGCCTCGCAGCGTGGCTCCCTGAGTCCAGACGCCGCTTCTTTGGAAGCGAAAGTGAATAACTTGCTTGCCGCGCAGAAGGAATATATGCTGAAGCTGGATCGTTTGAACACAGAGAAGGATCAACTTTCCGAACAATTGAATACCGCCACATTAAGATACTTCAAAGCCGAAAAGAAATTAGATAGAGCCAAAAGCTCTCAGGTGCAAAAGTTGGAGCAGCAGGCTTTCGCAAATGCTACCCGCCCTTCCGGAGCGACGGCAGCGGCAGTAGCGGCATCGGGTGAAGTCGGCTCAGAACAACACGAAGTGAATGGTTCATCGGATGAATTATTGCTCAAATATGAGGAAGCAACAGCCTCTGCAGCGAAACAGAAGGAACAACTGGATTCTATCCTGTCGGAGTTGAAGACGGCGCAGGACGAGAATTCAACACTCAAAGCCCGCCAAAACACTTGGTCAGATGAGGATTTCATCCGAACAGACGTCTTCAAGCAGTTCAAGGCGCAAAATGAGGATCTCATCAAGCGAATTAATAATCTGGAGGCCACAAATAAGCAACTTCGGGAGGAAGCCGAAAAACTGCAGGCAGAGCGGACGTCCTACAAAACCCAACTGGAAGCTGATGCGAGCCAGGTAACACAGGAGTTGGAGGCTGATGTCATAACTAGAGATCAGGACCTCGCCCGAGTTCGTTCTGCTAGGGACGAGATACTCGCAGAGAACACACAAAGAAAAGCCAGCATGGAGCAGGAGAAGGCCTCACTAGGGCATGTCAAGGAATTGATTAGCGCGAAGGACGATCGCATTGCCGCTCTGGAGTCTCGACTTTCGCGGCTTGAACCTGCCGAGGACCAGGAAATGGTCAATGCAGATGATCTCACGGAGCTTTCCGAAGATGAGCTCCGGCAAAAGTATAAAAAGCTGCAACAAGATTTCCAGTCCATCAACCAGGAACTGCCATCCATCGAAAAGGCATACAAGAAGATGAAAGATCAAGCACAGAAAAAGGTGTTGGACTTTGTAGCCATGGAAGAAAAGGTTTCTCTTTTGATTGCAGAGAAGAGCAAAGCAGACCAAAAGTACTTCGCTGCCAGAAAGGACGCCGACACCCGAAACAATGAGATAAGATCACTGCGACACCAAAACAGCAAGAGTACCGAGATCATTACTCAGCTGAAGGACTTGGAGGCACAAAATAGATTACTCCTTGGCAACTTGGAGAAGCAGGTTGCTGATTTGAAGCAGTCAAATGCTCT